TTCCCTAGTCCAATCCAGCCCAAGCTGTGACCACCAAAATGTCTCCAACGTTGTCAAAGGTTCCCTGCTGTTGGAAGCTGCCCTGACTGAGAACCTCACTTGTCTTGGCTCTGGTCTCCACCTACATGTGCAGAACACCAAGCAAAAAATGAACCAACTAAGGATGAAACTTACAAATCTGACTTTAAAGACCACCATGCTTAAACTAAAAATGCTGAAGTCTCTTAACGGTCAATATTCTCAAACTCCTTTGTACAGGAAGACTTAACTCCTCTTACTGTTAACCTTAATTTTGAGAAGTCAGTACCTCTGGTCAACATTAACCATGCTACACGAGGAGGCCTCCGAAAAGTTTATGAAAAAACTGTGGATTTCAAAATCTTTGCACCAAAATAAACTCATACTTTCATTCCATTTCCCCATGAACTTTTCCAAGTCTCCTCATATACATAATTAAGCTCCTGCATAAACAAAAAAAAGTGTGACAATTAAAAAAAGTCTTTTGTGTTTACATCAGTACCCTCGGAGAGGGATGAAAATGGAAACCTTAGAGCAAGTTTTGCGTCCATGTAGGGTGGCATGCATGCTATTCTGATTAGCATTGACATTAAGTAAAATAGTTCCAAGAAAAACTTTCAAAACGCACGAATTCTTAATAGTGGAAAAACCAGACAACAAAACGAAATGCAACAAAACAAAACATCACACGCTGTTTCTAAAAGTCCCACAACCGCTATGGCCCTAAATCACTTATTCCAAGAGCCAGGCGAGATGCAAAATGCTCTCCAGAGAGGGTAAAGGAGATGGTGTCTTAAAAAAAAAAAACAAAAAAAAAAAAACAACAAAGAACTTGGTAGGGGAAACTCCGGGCCAGGCCGAGCTCGCGCGGTGCCACGGCAGGCGGAAGCACCCTGTCCCGGAGACGCCGGCGCGGCGGCGCGTGTAGACGCTCACCTTCAGCCGTTTGATCATCTCGTCGGTGGTGATCTTGTCGGTGATCTCCTTCACCCCCGGGGGGTAGGCGATCTTCCCGTCGGCGCTCAGCACGCCGCACAGGGCAGCGGCCGGCTTGGGCGGCGCGGCGGCGAAGTCCATCCTGGGGGACAACTTGGCGTCCGCAGTCCTCTACCGGCCTCTATCGGTCAGAAACCCAAAGTTCAGCGGGAGAGGGGCGACTTTGTAACCTCTTTTTTCATTTCGAAAATCTCCCATCTGGACGCGGCCCGCTCCCCCCCGGGAAGC